CTAGTAGCTTCTTGTTACTACTAGTAAGGCACCTGTTACTACTAGCGTGGCACTTGTTCCTAGTAGCTTCTTGTTACTGCTAGTAAGGCACTTGTTACTACTAGTAAGTCACCTGTTACTACTAGCGTGGCACCTGTTACTACTAGTAAGGCACTTGTTACTACTAGCGTGGCACTTGTTACTGCATAAGCAAAAATGTTTAAAAGAACATTAGATGCCCTTTGCTCCTAGTAGGGTCCTCTACCCCCCTCCGCGCGCGCGAAAAAAGCTCCATTCGTAGCGTCCAGGAGTCCCTAGTAGCGTCCCTGCTCCTAGTAGCGATGCCCTTTGCTCCTACCTCAACCCCCCCCCCACGCGCGCACGCGCGCGAAAAGGTCCTAGTAGATTCCTTTGCTTATTTGAATTCTAATTCATTCTTTCTAATTAATAGCTTCTTGTTACTACTAGTAAGGCACCTGCTACTACTAGCGATGCACTTGTTACTACTAGCGTCCTTGTTACTGCTCGAAGCGATGCTTCGGTTCCTCGGAGCCGCACCACCTTGATCTCCCGCTCCTCCAACTCGACTGCCTCTCGGGCCTCCAAATATGGAATGCGACGGTTCCGCATCTGCTCAATGGTCTCCTGAGAAACGAGAAGTAAGGAAGAGAGTGAAACACCTTCCTCTTGCTCAAATGACAAATTCGAGAACTCGGATCCACAGGCACCCGTTTTTCACGCGGCCAGGTTCAAGTCTGAAGCTTCCCACTGCCAAATCCGCACGAAAGCAAAAGATCGATGTCGTGATGTCTGTCGCTTTGCTCGACGCTGTCGCCGTTCAGACCGTGCCCATGGCATCGGGACGCGTCCAGATCTTGCAGGGCCTCTTTCGGGCCCACATGACCAAAATAAGCCACTTCGGATCCAATCCAAAAAGACATCCGGTATATTTTCAAGATCAAAAAGACACTATGTGGTTTAGCAATGCTTTCTTCATCCGGGATATCCTTCAGATCCTGATCCTCAAGGTCGCCACTTCACTCAGACATGTCGCTGGCATTGATTTTTGCAATCCTTGTGCGCTCCAAAAAAGATCTAAAAAGACTCAGAAAAGATCAACCTCATCGACTCCAGAAGTGTTCCTTCTCAACACCACGATGCCAAGATGCAGGAGTCCAGGTCGAAAGATCCGAGGAAGATACAAAAACAAATGTTGAATTGTTTTGAAAAGCTGCTGATAGAGGTCCTAAAGAATCCAAGTTACTCCAAAGTCCTTTGCCAAGTCGCTGTACTGGAGCTTTCATGGCATCTCGTCGGAAAGGCTCCCCAAGCTCCTGGATCAAAACCCTCTGACTTGTCAGAATCAAACCTACTAGCGATGGCCTCCAACCTACTAGCTTACTAGCGATGGTGGTCTTCTACGGTCTCTCCTGTTTGTTGTCTTCTACGGTCTCTGCCAGTCCCTGTGCCCCACCTGGTTCAGCAGCACTTCAACCAGCGTTGTCTCCTTTCGCTGCATTTGACCATCAATGGCTGTCTTCAAGGCCTCAGGATTCCAGGACGAAAGCTCAGCTTCACACTTTTGTCCAACACAATTAGATGACACGAAGCAAAGCATGCAAGCTGAAGAGGAGCTCATTCCGGTTTTGGAAACGAAAAAGTTTTTTTACATTTGTAACAAGAAGCTACTAGGAGGAAAGGGCATCGCTACTAGGAGCAAGGACGCTACTAGGTACTAGTAACAAGCTATGTAAGAAAATTGCTTTTGACCGGTGTTCGATTCAAAGACCACATTCCTCACGCCATATCGCGTCACCCGTCACCTGCTCGAGCTCCTCCACGGTGGCCACCTTCACGCCTTTGAGGCCACAGGCCTTGGCCATCTCCGCATACTCCACACCTCACCGGGCAGTTGAGTCAAGCCGACTCAGATCTGACTCAGAACTTTGGTCCAATATGGCAGCTTGCATCTGACATGGTTGACATTTCTTCCTGACGCCTTCGAAATCTCTCAAAAAGCAACGTCTCAATTGCACGTCCAAACAGATACGTCATCCCTAACAGGGACGAGGATGTCTGGAAGACGGACCTCAGGGTCTGATGCACTTTGTTGTTTTTAAAAAACCCGCCTTTGTTGAGCTCAGTGCCCACAAAGTTGTCATCGTACCACCTGAACATCGTACCGTCTGAACGGACAGCACTTCACTGATTCAGACATCCTCACGGGCAATTCATCGGCTTTGGGAGAAAGAATGGAAGAAATCCTACATTGAGTTCTGTATTTGGAAAAGTAGGCGGAAAACGAACCATCTTGGTTTGAAAACTGATACTTTATCGTCACTTGATTTGTTCCCCTCTGGTGGTCGGCCACTGCGGCAAGGCCACAACGTGGTGTTCCGCTTTTCCGCACCCCACTGGAAGTTCCGAAAGACGATCATGGTCACCGGCGGCCTTGGAATGGAGTAAGATAGATCGGCTTGAAATGAAGAACATGTTCTTCTTCTTTCTTTTTCTTTTATCTCTCCTTTTTTAAGGCCTTTAGACCTGTCTTGTCTTGTTTCCTTCTCTCTTTCTTTCTGTCCTTTTTCCCGATTAGTTGGTGTGTTTCCCCGAACGAATGGGACTGTGCCACGTGGCCAATCGCCCCGGCCACAGGCCGTGATCTCATTGATGGAAATCCCGAAGGCGCCGTCACCAGCGAAGCCCACCACGGGCACAGAGGGATTTCCTACCTCGTGAGGCATTTCCATCTTGGGAACAACTATTCGGAACATTGGACTCCTTGGACGTGACCCTTCTGACAAATTGGACTCGCAAGGTCTTGCGAGTTTTGTCCGGATTTTGACATCAATTTTGGCGCTGGCCTTGGCACCGAGTATGGAGGGAAAACCATAACCTTAGAGAGACAATGACTTGGACAATGCTCCCAAAGACTTGATGGATCACATGACGTTTCGTTCACTGTCACTGAGCAGCCGCAAGGACCAAAGAGACCAGGCGAGAGGTACTTCCTGGGTGACTGGAAGGATGGATACGCATTCCCAATGGCCTCGGAACACTTGCATACATGTGCATTCAGTATCGATGCCCTTTATTCCTAGTAGCTTCTTGTTCCTAGTAGTAAGGCCAGGAGCCCCTAGTAGCGTCCACAAAGCACAAACCTCCAAAGATCCCCAAGACATCAAAGTCACACAGTTGTTGCCGATGTCGGAAGACATGATGGCCTCAGTGCACTTAGCGTCTGTCTCTCGGCCCAAATTCGATCCACGCGGATTCACGAAAAGAACCTCTCGAAGCTATTTGCATCCGAAAGCGAGACACTCCAACTTGTTTGTTGAAAAACAAATAGAAACACATCAACATACATCAACTCCATTCGCCTCATCGGCTCCATCTTCACAAGACCCCCATCCACCCCACTCCACTCGTCCAGGCGCATCTTTTGGCATCACCCGCATGATGGCACGCCAAGCCTGCCTGGGCGACATCCTCTCAGGAGTCGCTGCTCGCGCTCGTTGGTTCCATGTGGTGCCCTCATCATCGAGCTCATGGTCCATGCCTTGGAATCAACCGACATCGATCGTATTATAATATCATTTCTTGTGTCCGCACTATTCATATTAATGGCTCATATGGTCTAAAGAATGAAAACGCATATACTTCTCAAAATTTGGCCTAGAGACTTTCTAATTCCTGTGCCCAGGCAGTTTTCTTCTCCTTCACCAGCTTCTCACGCTCCGCTCGGCCAATCGAGCCAGCCTCCGCCGACAGCTGTTCCAGCAGCTCTTCCTGGGAAATGGTGCGATGCACATTTCCGCCGTAGCGAGAAAAGTTCATAGAAAACACCTCTCAACGTGTTAAACAAACATGACAGGCAAGCATGACGTGCACTCGTCTTTGAGCTACTATTTGGTCTTGTCTCTGGAATCAACAGCCACCACGCGAATTTCCTCGCAACTTGCAAAAGAAAGCCAGCTTTTGTTTCTTGTTTTAGCTTGCGTGTACGCTGCAAAGCGGTCTGCCGAGTTGCAGCCACCAGTCCTGATTCGTTGCGTTTTGAAGCTACTCGGGTATTGCAAGTTAGGGGGGTTCTTTCTCAATTACTCTCTAGACTTCTCCCCAAAAAACTTGTACTCACCTCTAACCTCATCCCTTCCACACCCGTGCACACGTAAACCACTTCCTTTTTTTGGTGTGTGTGTGTGTGAAGAGATCATCCGATAACTCGCCTGTCCAAACCCGTTTCTCCAAGTCATCAGCAAACCCATTGAAGCAAACTCAGAAGAACTTGTTCTGATTAGGACGAACCAGAACTAGACTCCTAGAATTTCCTAGACCTTGCGTGAAACACTGTGAAGCAAAGCCATGTGAAACGTTGCGGTTACAAACGGCTGTTGAACGTCCTGCATCACCTTGAATGCCCACGTCCACCGGCTTCGTCAACCCGATCCGGTCTCCGTTGATGTCCACCTGAGGGAACTTCGAAAGGGAAAGAAGATGGGAAGAAGCGAAAAAGAATAGAACATGTTTTTGAATATGCTTTTTGGCGGGGAGGCCATTAGGTTGGAGGCCATTGAACTCTTTTTGTTGTTTTTGCTGCGGGGAGAGGGATAGGCCGTAAGAACAGGAGTGCCAGATCTCAAATCTCGCTCCTGGTCAAGTGCGTTCGGAAAGTGATTGATGGAGTCTGATAGAGCTGGTTCTTGCCGCTTCCATGTCGGCTGGCACTTCTGTTTTTCCAAATAGACTCGAGTATGTCAGGTAAAAACACAAGGTCTATACGAGGTCAAAGAAGCAAGAGAATCCCTAACCGAATCACCAGGCCTAACCGAGAGTGCGTCCGATCAGCAGTAGCTCCCTTGCTACTCCTTGACTTACTTACAACTTTAGTTTACTACTTGAGCTTCACAGCGGCCACAGATCATCTTTGCATATACATTCATGTCATTTGCCCAAATCTACAATCCTATTGCAACATATTATCTTTTTCAGACCTGCTGTAGAAACAGTTGCAGGAAGGGCAATCACCCAACGGGCCAGATCGTTCTCGACTTCTAACTTCCACCCGTAATTCTATTTATGTTTATTTCTTGTTTCTAATAGCTTCTTGTTCCTAGTAGTAAGGACAGGAGCCCCTAGTAGCGTCCTTGCTCCTACCCCCCCGAAGCGACCCAGGTCACCAAAACGTTCTGAACCACGTGCCGAACCCACCTGGATGAGCTTGGCATCCTTCGGCCAATATTCGATGCCATAGCATGGCAAGGTGGAGAAGGGGTTCAGCCTTTGCAGGGACCGAAAAATCACAGGTTGCACGTGTGATTCAATTGTGGAAATGCTGCAAAACTGATGAGTATGCGACTTTCTGGTCTACTTGAAAGCTTTTCACAGCAAACCTAGCCTGGTGCCAAGGGCAAGCACCACATCTGCCTTTGAAATCATCTCCATCGCCGCCTACAAAACTGCGAAGCGGAAGTTGTCTGTCAGATCCAAATGAAAAACACAGCTACTACTATAGTAGCTCCTGGCATCTTGCTCCTAGTAGCGATGCCCTTTGTTACTAGTAGCTTCTTGTTACTAGTAGCGATGGCCTCCAACCTACTTGCGATGGCCTCCACCTAATAGCGCCCTTATTACTATTCAACCTCTTTTGAAGACGTCTTTTCAACCCCTCTTCCACAGTGGACGGCCTTGGAGCCATTGTAGCCCAATGGTCCCACATGCAGCGGGTGATCACCTCACAGACTGGCGAACAAAGTTCCAGGAAGGGCGAACGCGATCGGAAAGGAGAACCAGAACGAAACCGCTCCTGGAAAGGCATCGTTGTGTTGATAGTTGCAGCAGACCGGCGCAGCCAAGCGCTCCGCCAGCTTCACGGAGGTCTCCTTGCTCCAAATGCATCCAAAAGCTCTTTTTTGCCAGCTCCCCCCTCCCTACTTAATCAAGTAGGTGCCTACTAAATTGAGTAAGGGAGTAGTTCGCTACTAGCTACTTAAGCTACTACACACGGACGCGGGATAGCTCACGCTTCTTCCATGGCGATGATGGAGACTACGAGAGGAAAAGGATCACGGTCGTTAGCTGGCTTTGTTGACTGGGCAACGATGGGCATGCCTGACACACTTGGTGCGACAGTTCGAGGGGCCTTGCCGGCCATTGCTTCTACAGGAGATTGCCGTGACGTTAATGAGGACTGGACCATTTTTGGGAAAATCACTGTGGCGCTCCTTACTCGCTGCTGGTACGCCGAACCACCATGTTGATGAGCTTGGTTGAACCTGTGGACGAGTGGCCGACCTTTGAGCTCGTTTGTGAAGTGACGTTGACCTTGATGCAGGTGCTTGTGTTGGAGTGCAGGTTGACGCTTTGCATTGTCCATTCCCAGCTAAGATTCGGGTTGACCACACGGGCCGTCTGTGGAACCTTCCACATCATCACCGAGGCATGCCATGGAATGTCACTCATTTGTTTTCTGATGCGTATGACGGATGCATCTTATCTCCTTCGTGTGGCTCCGTTTGTGTGGTGCTGATTTTGCATTGGCTCATCAGGTGGATTCCCATGTTGCCTCCGGGCTTGGGTTCTGCGAATATGTTGTTGGGCTGATCTTTTCAGTTTTTCCCTGGGTATTCGGTAGCGGGCATTCCTGCTACATATGCCTCCACTGGGGTGTGTGTGGGAACTCCTCTCACTATCGGTGGTGGCCTTCGGCCTTTTTCTGCATGGAATGGGTAAGACTTTCATTCACTCCTCGAGAAGTCATGGTGTGGCGCCTCGCCTGGTTACAATCAGTTGGGAGATGTCCAACATCAAGCTTGTTGTGGCGGGTGGCTGCCCGATCTTTGTTCCACTGTCATCTGCGACGCCGTACTTCCACAACTTGTGAAGAAGGGGGCCGCTCCACAGATTGGCAGAAGTTCTCGAATTCGGAATGGTATTCAATATGGTAGATTCACTCTGCGCAATCCGATTGAGTGGCTTGAGCCGAACCACTACTCTTGTGCCTGCATCCACCGATGTCACAATTGGTGTGATGATTCTCTCTTGTCACTCTTTGGTTCACTGACCTTCGACGCGGAAGCTCGTTGGTTGCCGATGACCTTGTCGTGCCGGCTTGAGAGAAAAAAAAGGAAGCTCCGCCCGCCGCTCGCACTAATGATTTGGTTCCTAGATTTTTAGGGAAACTTATTTACCAATGCTAGTGATACTAATGCATATTCACTGAATTCACAGGTTCTCATCGTGAAACTGGGAATTGAATGTTACAAGATGCAAGTGAATCCGAATATGTCTAGCAGCTTCTGAACCTTTGGACGAACCTTGGCACATCCTCTCTTTTGGTCCAAATGTCCACTGCATTGGCCAGGATCACCCCGGCACCATTCAGGATCACAGGGAACTTGGCCTCAAAAACATGGACAAAAAACCGACGGATCGCATTTGGAACGTGTCCTGCACAAAAGGAAAGAATCAGTTTGGTTTGATCGCTTCTAGGAATAAGCAGAACTCAGCCAAATAGTCCAAGTTCATCACAGTGATTCGTTTCCTCTGGTTTAGCCGATTAAGCATTGACATCACAGTCTGGCTGGTGCATGAAAGAGCTTGATGCCATGAAACCATTGGAAGACACACGTACAGTATCGATCAAACATGATCGTTTCTTTTATTACTAGTAGTAAGGCACTTGTTTCTAATAGCAAACATTGTTACTACTAGTAAGGCACTTGTTACTAGTAGCGATGCACTTGTTCCTAGTAGCACACGTACAGTATCGATCAAACATGATCGTTTCTTCTGTCTTGTTGTGCCTGAATTGTATGCCCTGCAAAACCGGAGAAAACGACGGACGGAGCGAGGGAGGACACATCTCCGCCATGCGCTGCGCCACGCGTTGCTCAATCCTTTCTTCCTTTTCTCTGTTTTCTTTGTTTCTAATAGTGTTGTGTCTGCTCGTGATTCGTCGCCTGCGAGAGGAGCTCGGCCGCCTTCTTCGTCGATGCGCGCCCGCCGGCAGAGCGCTCCAGCTTGACTCCCGTGGGCAACGGGAACTCGACCACCTTGCAAGTTTCGGTGGACCCTTTTGCCGAAAAAAACCTGTATAGATCCCACAGAGACGTCATTCAGACCTTTTCTTCTTTCTGTCTCTTGCCAACGCTCTTCCCAAAGCTGCCATCTATTTGGTTTGATGGTTCACCTGCTACTGTTCGAGAACCATGAAAAGACAAGACTTGTTTTCAAGATATGTCCTCTTAAGTCCATGATTCAGCACTCATTGCAAAAAGTTTTAATGCGACTCCAACAGCAGCATCGTACAGTAGATAATACAAAAAGAGCATCATCCAACCCGGGGTGATTCCCGTCTATTGCGTTCTTTGTGAACAGTAAGAATGTGAACAAAAAACACATACATACAAAATAAAGCCTTCAGCTTCTATTGTTTCTACAAGTTTAAGTTCGAAGTACCCGCGAATGTTGATTTTCTGTCCTACCATCTATTTGTGTTGTCCTACCCGCTGTACTTAGCTCACAAAAAGCCGTGCTTGAATGTCTAGTAGTTATTCTGCATTCAGACAATGTTTTAACCAAATGTGTGGGTGTGCGTGTGTGCGTGTGTGTGAATGTCTAATACTAAACAAATCAAAGATCCCAAAGAAACATCGACGGTTGTGGGAAAGTCGAGGCTTGGAAATGTTCTCATCTTGCATAGTTTGTCTTTTTTTGTTGTTTCTAATAGCAAACATTGTTACTACTAGTAAGGCACTTGTTACTAGAAGCGATGCACTTGTTTCTACTAGCTTCTTAGTCTTTAATTCCGAAGGACGTGCCTTGTCTCGAACGTACTTCTTTTCTTGGTCGTCTATTTCGAGCTGTCATGCTTGGTCTTCGTTTGTTGGTGGGAAGAACAATCAGACAGCAAACATATCTGCCTGTGTAGAAACTCTCATGGGTGCAGAACCTAGATTTTCCATGTCCAGCCAAGTTCCCTTATTGAATATGCTTCAAGTAGCGAAAGACATGATAGTGTTTCCCAACTTGCTACATACACAAGCGGTTGGATTGAAGCGAAGAGTGGATGCTTTCAGGGATTTACCGTGTGTGCAGAGTCAAAGTCACAAGGCCGCCTCAAGAGTTGAATTTAGCAGGGAAAGATGATGTAGATGCAGCAGCTCCGTCACACTCGAGATCCGTATCACGTTCACTTTGAATCATGTGCTGTGTTCCTCTGGTTCTTGCTTGATACTGAATACTGATGTGTTTTTGTGCTCACCACAGGGTCGGGTACCGGGCTTCCTCCAAAACCACACCTGAGTCCAGAAGTCCCGAGGGATATTGATCTGCGCCGGTGCGCTGCAGTGCAGAGCCTGCGCTTGTATGACGCACAGGTACAAAGCACTCTGCTGATTTTTCACATCAAGTGCATCCACAAGCAAGAGTTGGCAATGAGCAAAACTGTTGCTGTGCAACTAGACGAGCACTCTGGAGGAGTTCACCGTTTCCCCATTCTTTGGTCCAGCCTTTTCGATCACCCTGTTCAGGACCTCACAAATGCGTGTGGCATCCCTCACCTGCAGCAGGATCCATCGAATTGCAGCATATGTCTGCCAAATAGGAAATAAGACCAGCAAATAGAATTGCAAATGTCTACCTTGCGTTTGTCCTTTTGTTCGCCTCCTCTTGGTAACAAACGCTGTCCTTGAACATGGCCATTTGTTCCACCTCCTGGAATCCTCCTTGACCGATTGTCTTGTTGGCCGCCTCAGAGCAACTCTTCACAGATCTGTTTGTTTAAGTTTCCAAAAAAAAAAAAAAAAATAGAAAGCATATAAATGGTGCGAGGGCTTTCCTGCATCCGGAGCCTAGTAGCTTCCATTTGCTTTCTTGCTTCTTACCTCTTTCTTACTTCTCATGGCCTAAACCCCCCGGAAAAAAAATGTATTAGCAATAAAATCAATACAAATAATAGTAATTTAAACAAAAAAACCTAAGTTTTGTCAATGCTCAAGAGCCCCTTCACTGCTCTGAATCACAATAGAAGCGACCGGCCTGTGGCGTGACCAAGAGCAGTGGGGTGTGGTTCCAGTAAGCGGTCTTCACAGGCGTCACGAAGTTGGTGATGCCAGGACCGTTCTGCGCAATCATCATGGACCTGGATACAAAGGTAAATCCCTTCTAAAAAGTGTCTTAGGTCAACTGCATTCATCTCATTGTCAAGTAGCATTTTCCCAGTGGTTCTTGTGTAGCCGTCTGCCATCATCCCAGCATTGCACTCCTTAGAAAGCGCTCTAATAACTTAAAATGTTGCAACTCAAAGTTTGTGAAAAGTTTGTCAACTCGTTTTGCAAAGCTCCTTGGACTCTTTTATGTACAACGCAAACTCCGTTCTTTGCTCCTTGCTCCTTCAGGTTCCTTCTTTGATTCCGTAACAAGAGTAACAAGGGCATGGCTACTAGGAGCAAGAAGCTACTAGTTGCTCCTGGCAATTCTACTAGTAACAAGAAGCTACTAGGAACAAGTGCATCGCTTCTAGTAACAAGTGCCTTACTAGTAGTAACAAGAAGCTACTAGTAGGCAGCTTTCGCTCCTTTCGTTCCTTTCTCTCTTCGAGCCGCATGGGCGCAGTCCCAGAACTTGATGCCTGGAGAGCTTTCTGTCGACTCTGCAAGACACATCGCAGTTGAACTGAAATTGAAACATACATACATGTGCGTGTGTGTGTTGTATATATATATATATTAATCCATATATTTCAAATATATATATATATGTGTCTTTGTCTTCCATGTGTGTCTGTTCTTCTTTGGACCTTTGGACTTAGACCTTTCTCGTTTTATCCTTTATTTTTCTAAGCCAATTAGCTCTTGAGGAACTCATGACCCCAAACCCAAAGGTGCACTGGAGTCTCATTGCGCCTGCGGCGGGAAATAGGTCAGAGATCGGCATCATCGCTGAGCCTCAGGAGAGGCGACGACTTCAATCCGCAAAGACCCTTGGGTCACTGTGGGCACAGTCCCAATGGTTTTGCCAAGTCTCCAATGATGCCAAAAGCGTTCTTGATCCCGTGCCTTATTTAGGGCTTGTTTCGCTTTGTGGAATTCCCCAACTCACTTGAAACAGTACGGTGATGGTTTTTAAAGTTCGTTGGGCTGGCATTGACCTTTTCTTTCTTGTTTCTTGTTCGTTGGCGCAGTGCAGTTTTTGCTATTGTTGGTGCTTTTCTTGGTGCGGAGTCCGGCCATGTCGCATCTGCAGCGTCTTCACGAAGGCCTCCTCGGTGGTCATCCGCATCGGCGCTTTGCGCTCGCCATGCACAGGCTTGGCAGCCGCACTGAACCTGAGTCGGAATGCGAAGCCGAAAATGGCTGACCTCACCTAGGTCAACATCATTCAACATAGATTCAGGAGGCCTAGTAGGTTGGAGGCCATCGCTATTAGGTCCATCGCTTCCTTTTGCAGGTTGGAGGCCATTTCTCACCTAGATCAACATCAGATTCCGCCAATCCTTTCCAGTCCTTTCCAGTCCTTCCGAGCAGCGGCCGCAAAATCGGCCCATGTGGTCCAAAAGACAGGCCCTGAGCGAAACGACCTCGTACCATGGCCATTTTGCCACGGAAAGCTGCCAAGAACATAAAACTGTGAACGCCGCTTACAAAGCACCTTCTTTGAGCGTTCTCCTGCCCTTTTTGCAGGCTGTTGATGCGTGAGCAACCCCCATGGATCAACTTGCGTGGCCAAAACCTTGAGAGCCATATGAGATTGACAGCAAAACCTCCAAGATTCACAAAGTGTTGCACATCCTTTTCAATGGTCTCTTTTTACAAAATCCACTTGTCAGACCCCAAGGTTGGGAAGTCTAGAGGTTCTTCAATTTGTGCTCATGAACAAAGTCCAAGTCGCTTCTTTCCGCTGCCAATCACGAATCCGAACTTTGGAAATCGCTCAACCAATGAATTCGCGGTGTTCAAGACACCGAATCGAGATTTCCAGATCTAGTGGCTCAAGAACAAAAAATGGCAGCTTTTGAGAAGACAGTTAGCCCAATGAGCATTCTTGAGCCATATCAGCACTTCTTCAGCTCCGTCGTTCAAGTTCACTCAAGCGATTCATTCAAGTTCATGTTGTTCTCCAGGCTGTGGAAGCATAGGATAATCTAAAAAATGCTGTCACTTGACTCGAACACATCTCTTCGTGAGTTCACATCCACAGCCCCATGCAGAAAGACCCGTTTGGGTCTGTGGCGCATGACATGCGCAAGACTGCCCTCGGGCCGAAAATCGGCATCGCCCCATTCGGGGGGCACCGACCCCAAAAGCTGGAAGCAATCCACCTGTAGATCTTCCAATTGTGAAGAAACTACTAGCAGCAAAGGGTATTACTAGTAGTGGTTCCTCTCTCCTAGTAACAAGGACATTACTATATAGTAGCAAGAAGCTACTAGTAGCAAGAGTTTGAAATTGTCAGGTCTGCTTGAAACAAATTTGCAGACTAAGGAGAGCCGTCGGACCTTTGAGGGGATTGCCGTCGGGTTCTTTCGCGAAAGAAGTTGGACAATGAAACCATGTATTTTTGAGCGATGGCCTCCAATCCAAGAGGTTTGTGTTTATTCTGAGATCATTCGGAATGATTCTCAAGTGTTCGTCCTTGGAATCTTGATAGATCTTCAGGGGAACAAGTTCGTGCTCCGCCCGCGCTTTGCTCGGAATTCTATGGGACAGCAACAGGCAGCTCGACATAGCCTGGAGGAGCCAAAGAACTGCAGGTTTTGAACATGTTGCCTCAAAGACTTGGAATAATTAACTGCCAATGCAAAATGATCATGCATAATCACAAGAATGCTGTCTCACGTGGCCTCTTTTGTGCTTTCCAGCATCATAAGCAGCACCGTTCCGCGTATCCTTCAACACCTCAATGATCACACCTTTCGTAACATGCTATGCCAAATGGTTCACATCCAAGAGGAGGCTCCATTCTCCAAAAAAAATTCTCCCTTTCATATCCAAAAATCAGTTGATATAGATATATAATGAAAAAGACCTTTCTAAAGGGTTCCTTCAACCACCTTCATTTTTGTTTTTGCCTCTTTAGATATGAGCTGATATATGAGTTGCTCAAAAAACACAATTATCCCGGCAAGAGACCCCAAACAGTGTGTGTGAGGTCTATAAGCAGAAAGTCTAGAGATCTAGACGCATTGGGGTCCAGAGAGGTGATGGTGATCAAGTTGGGGATCGTGGTGACGGTGGCGGTGGTGGTGAGTGAGTGAGTGTGTGTGAGTGAGAGTGAGAGTGGGAGTGAGAGTGAAAGTGAGTGTGAGTGCGAGTGTAAGTGAGTGTGAGTGAGAGTGAGAGAGAGTGAGAGTGAGAGTGAGAGAGTGAGACTGAGAGAGTGAGAGTGAGAGTGAGCATCTGAGAGTGCAAAGTGCTGCGCCTACGCCGAAATCTGCGCTTCGAGGTTCACAAAGTACCGCGCCTGCCACGAAATCTGCACTTCAAGGTTCACAAAGTACTGCGCCTGCCACAAAATCTGCACTTCGAAGTTCACAAAGCGCTGCACCTGCCACGAAATCTACACTTCAAGGTTCACCAAGTGCTATACCTGCTACGAAATCTGCACTTCGAGGTTCCCAAAGCGCTGCGCTTGCCACAAAATCTGCACTTCAAAGTTCACAAAGTGCTGCACCTGCCCCGAAAACTGCACTTCGAGGTTCACCAAGAGCTGCGCCTGCCACGAAATCTGCACCACCAAGCGCTGTGCCTGCCACGAAATCTGCACTTCAAGGTTCACAAAGCGCTGCGCCTGCCACGAAATCTGCACTTCAAGGTTCACCAAGCGCTATACCAGCCACGAAGTCTGCACTTCGAGGTTCACCAAGTGCTGCGCCTGCCGCAAAATCTGCACTTCGAGGTTCACAAAGTGCTGCACCTGCTACGAAATCTGCACATTGAGGGTCACAGAGTGCTGTGCCTGCCACAAAATCTGCAAACGAGCCACATGCCCAAAAGTCACGATTCACTGCACCTGTCACGAAATCTGAGCTCCTCGAGGATGACCACCATGTCCAAAGTGCTGCGTGCGCCACGAAAAGTTGACTTTGGAGCGCCAAAACACGAGGCTTCCCTTGCGCCGCCACGAAAAGTGACCACCATGTGCAAAAATGCGTGCGGCACCACAACGAGAGCGCAGTCGCTAGAAGCACCCGCCGCGGCCACCCAGACTTTGCGAGCCTGCGCAGTCGAAATGCACTTCGACGATTTCGAGAAGCATGAATGTGCTGTAAATAGCAGCGAATTAGCCGGTCACGGCCGCGTGCTTCAGCGATCTAAGCATCAGCTGCTTTTCTGCTGCAGTAAGAACCCCTCAGTGTGTCCACACTGTTTGGTGAACAAACCCCAAGCTGTTTTTTTGCATTTCTTTCGTTTTCTCAGCGAAAAGTTTCTGAGGTTTGGCACCGCGCAGGACGAGTCTTCCGGGTCCGTGAGGCGGAAGCGGAAGATCAAGAAGGGCACCCAGCGAACATTCTCCTGACCTCGGAGGCCATCGCTACTAGGAGCAAGGACACTACTAGGGGCTCCTGGCCTTACT